ATCGAACGACTGAGAGAGATTGTTATGGACCAGGACTCGTGCGGTGGTAGACTGATTGTATGCCTTAATCAGCGTTTGCGAGGCAGACGACTGCTTGAGCATTGAAACCATTTGCTTATTATCATGAGCTTTAAACTGGTGTAGGACTCTAGCCTCGGTGATTGTTGCGGTCATAAAAAAATAGCTAAACTTATAGTCAATCAATCATTAATGACACAAGTCCCGAGGTGACCGCGCTGGGCCCTGGTTGCCGGCGCCAGATCGATACATCGGATGAGTTGCCAATCGGGGCCCAGGCTTACATCCCGTCTAGGCCCGTCTTGTTTCCGACGTGGACTACGAATTCAACTTCGCAGCCGCCCAGATTATCGACCAAACCGAAAACAAGCTGACGCCTGGGCCCCCGAATGGCAACTCGATATGTTAGGTGCCGAGTATCGATACTTGATTTAATCAATAGAGTTTCTTGTTTCGCAGCTGCATGAAAAGGTTTGTTCTAGTGAAATTGTTAGTTCAGAAGTTGTCTAGCATCGGTAATGAAAAGCCAAACTAATTTATAAAGTTGCCGACAAAGATCACGGACAGTTTTTTTTAGTTTATCACTATTTTTGATTGTGGTGGAGAAAGAAAAAGCAATTAAAAAGTAGAGCGTATAAAACTAGAAAATAACAGGAACACTCATTTAAATAACCCAATGTTTGGCAACGAAAAAAGCGCGATAATTAAAATGAGAAATGCAACCAATGGGAAACAAGAACTCGGCGAATTGCGCAACTGTGCAAAGGACTGTGCATTTGGGAGATTAAACTAAAACCACGAAAGATATGTCTTTTTCCAATTTCGGGCCGCAAAGCAACCGCATGTCGCTCATAAAACTAGAACTAAACTGAACACTAACCTAAAGCTAATAAAACTACATAATAAACTAAAAACTAAATTAAAAAGTTAACTCTAACTAAACTAAACACAAAGTGGCGTACAAAAAGTGGTCGCGAGCCAGTAAAGATTGCCGTGGGGAGTCAATGTGGATGAGCTGTGTCGTATCTTGTGTTGAGAAACAGCCAACGCCAAAGTAGCTAAATAAAACATGTCTACTACTACGAAATAAGTAGGCAATCAGACGAAGGAAGTGTAGAAAGCCCAAAACGAGAATGACCACACAAACAGTACTACTCACCTCGTATTCTTCAATATCTTTCGCGAGAACTTCACACTGCACCTGTTTGGCTTGTAACGTCTTCTTTGCCTCGGAAATAGCAACCTCAGTTGCCGATACCCACTTCTCGAGCTCGGCTTTGCGACAGGCCAAATCATTGGTCGTATCGGTCAGACTTTGACTCAGTTTCTCACGGCGCAACTTAAGCCGAGCCATTTCTGACTTCTGTTAGTAAGGTAAAGAACACGTTAGAATTCACAGTATAAGCCGTACGATTCAAACGATTGATGTTTTGACAAAAGGAGCACATGGGATGTGATGGTTTAACTGATGACACCTCTTAGGTCCACAACTCCGGGAGACAAATTTGCAAACGAGTTACTTTAGCGTGGAATCAAAGAATGCACATAAGGCCAAAAGCACGGAGACATCCACCAGAACGAATTCGCCGGAGGTATTAGCAGACAGCCTCCTTAAGCGTTTTCGTGGATGCAACATCATAGCCGTTTCAATGGGGACTACCAGAAATGTACCCAGTGACCACAAGAGATGACCTTCCTATGGCCCGGACAGACAAAAACCCTAGATGGCATGACAGGTCATAGAAACGGAAAAGAGCAAAACCTGAAAATAGTCCAGCCATCGCGCAGTAGAATGCATCCCCGCTGAGAA